AGACGATTCGTCGCACTCTTTAGAGTAATCAAAGTTATTGTTTAATACCATCCTATGGTCTGTTTTTCTTTCTTAAATTTGATATAAATGTTGCATACAATTATAATTACTTGGAAAATACACGAATAACTAAAATACATAATTCTATTATTTTGCTTTATGTTCAACAAAACTTGGAACTTTTCTACACCTTAAAGTGTTCATTATTAATCTAACCCCCAACAGAATAGAAACCCAGTCTCAAGATTATGATCTTTCAAATGAAATAGAAGCCCAGCTATCCAAACGAGCACAATTTAGAAATGCAAATCATCGAAGATATTAGTTCATCGCTTTTCATTGTTTAGTTGTAACTTCTTTGGTGTATCTAAATTTATTTGTTCTACATGTTTTCTATTGACGAACAAAGAAGTTTCTTTCGTGAGCCGAAAAATGTGTACACATGGACATTAATGAGAAGCGGCTGCTCACGAGCTTGCAGATAGGAAATAGTCATGCTTCAATACCATTATAGGACGCTTCTTCTTGTTATGAGATTATACAGTCTTGAAGTGAAGCGATGCAAACTTTTATTCAGTTGGAAGAAATATGAGCAAATCTTTAACTGAAAAATGAGACATCTAATAGAGCTTAACGAAAGTTGATGGAATTCACGCGAGAGTTTACTAGACACAAAAGCAAGTGCCATTATGAGATGAGTACGACAGCTATTATTGAAACACTCATAAGATTTAAACTATCTATTTCATAAAAAAGGAAAGCACCCATTTGGCAGCATAGGGTTTACTTGATACTTTTTTTCAAGATATGACAGAGCCATATCGGTACACGCCTGGTGGAAGTTTTTCTCAATTCCTCCGAAGCTCGATAGTTTCTTAAACTGAAGTGCCGTAATAAGCACGGTTCAACGTATCTTAATTAAGATCCACGAAGTGCTGATGACAGATGAACATGTCAATGAGAAAAATAGTGCAATGAATACATAACTTAGGTTATATGATAATATGGAGCTGAAAAAGTATAGAAGTCAATTTTTAATTCGTTGATAACTATCATGGCTTGCATCAAAGGTCTCAGACAGTTTGAAAACTTCAATTTGTTGAATCATATGCACTTCTGTCCTTGTAAGTGTATCAAAACATAGCTACAACATAAAAAAAAGATCATCGCAATAAAAGCCCACTGCCAAACTTTTGATTTGTGGAACAAATTAGAAGCCTAGCGGGCAAATTTCGATCATTTTATTTATCATGTGTAATCGATTATTGTTCAAGTTCTATTGCTGCAAACGCTTTTAGGTTGTTTTTCTGGACGAAGCATCACTACCTGATGAAAAGAAAATGGTTTTAAAAGTTTTGCATCCTTATTTGGACGAATGTAACGTTGCATTCGTGGCTATAGCAAACAAATCATTCGATGCTGCGAATGCAAACAGAATGATTTGCATTTATCGTTCATTGCCTTCGGATAATGATCAAAAGATATTGGCCTATGGCTGTCTTGGCTTACAATTTAAACACGAAGAACACACTGTCAATAAACGTCTCGAAGATATTATTTACGGTATTTGTCAAGGTTATCGTAGAGTAATTACTAGTAATCGTATTCCTCATGTATTTCATGATCGAGATTTTATCTATATGCTACGAGAATTACGTTTCGAACTACCAACATTATCATCAGATCAAGATACAGAAATCGATGGAATTACACCGACTAGTTTATTACATGCACTTGAAGATAATTTCAATGGAATAAAAAATGATGAATTCAAAGAATTGGTCGAAATATTTTTCACAGCTATTCAAGAACAATGTCCAGATTTTAAATTGCCATCAAAAACAGAACAAATTTATCGTAATGTACCGATCATTCTACGTCAATCGATGAAACTTGATTCGGTTCGTCGCCGTCTGTATGGTCGTTACAAATTGATTATTGACGAATCGGATGACGAAAGCGCCATTCGTCTTTTATTTCAAACGGGTATTCTTGATTCAGATCCTAGTCGAACAACCGTTTTTCGAATGTCTGATTTTCCAGACGATATTCATAATGAAATTCGAAATGTTGAAATACTATCTACAATAAAATTGTGTATGGAAACAGGAAAGACAATATTAATGGTAAATACCGGACGAATTCATGGTTCATTATATGATGTATTTAATCAAAATTTTTCAATTATGGCTACAGATGAAACAAGAAAGATCTTTTCCAAAGTGGCAATTGGTTCAAAAACCGTTGACGTTGTTGTTCACGAAGAATTCCAATGTATTGTACATATACCACGAAATGAATTCAAAGATTTACCATCTCCATTTCCAAGTCGCTTTCAAAAGTATTCATGGAGTATTAGTGATTTCTATCGCATTCAATTCGAACATCTTACAGCAAACGAACAGACAATTATAAAAAATGTAGAAAAGAAGGCGCAAACATTCATTGAACATTTCGGATCACAATATTTCTATGGTTTGAATGAAAATACACTCTATTCATGCCTTCTATCACTTATAACAACCAACGGGAATGAACACTATTCTCTTTTGAACGTACATCAACTTTACACACAAATGACCATAAAATCGAAATCGTTCATCGAACAAAATTCTAGCAATATTCAGCAATGTCTTCTACGTTCGCTACTATCCAAATTAATGCAGCTTGTCTCACCTGAATCGGTCATATTGAAACTTTCGACATTTGAAGACCAAATTGCACAATGGTTATGTACTGATTATTTTCAACATCAAGAACATTTCAGTATCGAACGTTTTATTCGGCAATTAATTGCGGATCCATCGATCGATGTTCACAATGATGATTTGCTTGCTACAATGAATACAAAACCTCAAAAACATAACGAGATTACATTAATAACAAAAGCGATGATATTTACACGAACATCATCCTATATTATCGGTCTCAATAAAGAATCAAAATCTCAGTTGTTTAGTGGTGGTGATAATGACGAGTATGGCAACATTAGCGATAATATTGACGTTTTGAATATGGTAAGTTGTTTGCATTGATACTTGAATAATTTGTAATCATACCGAATGAAATAGCACAGCACAACACATCTCGCTGGTTCCTAAATAAAATAATGTTATTTCAATGTATGAGTACAGTTGAGATTCAAATAGAACTGCGTGATTTATTGAATAGTACTGTAAGAGTGAGAAATCATTGACAAAATTAACAAGTAGTGCTTACGTCGCTGATGACTCTATGGACTTGTGCTCGAAGTTTCCGCGCCCTCTGAACCTATGTTCTTTTTTTTGCAATCGAAACTACTTGAGTTTACAAATTGGCTATAAATCTGCATAAAACTTTAGGATACAATGCTCTGAGAGACAAAAATCAATGATTCTCTTGTATATATTCATGAAAAGTGTGAGTATACCGACTAATTCGCAATCGCAGTTGTAGTTTTAAGCAATGTAGACACTACCACACACATAGATAGCTCTGCTAGTTGTAGAGTAGATTTTCGAAATAACAATAGAATATTCAAGAGTAACTGACAACAATCGAAATAATGATCTGTTCATATGTGAGACCAGATCTAGTGTTTTTCAGCGACGGTTCTAGAGAGTTCTGTCTGTTTCTACTAGCAAGAAAACAATACGAAAGTGAAAAGCTCAATTGAAGTGTTGAAAATCATGATAAAAATATGGATTTTTCATGTGTCCAAAATTGCTCGCTTCAAATCTTGTGTTTTCAAGAAATGCGATACTCAAACATCTTTTTTTTTAGTGACTGAAGACCATGGTGGCAAATATTGAGGGATCCTCTCCGAATGTTGAAATGTTGCGCCTGTTTTTGCTCACTGGCAGCCATAAAATTAATATTTCGCCCGAAAAGTTGCGCTATCAAACGCCCAAAAAATACTTCGCCAGTTAAAAAGTCTTATTCCTACCTCCTTAATGATTAGACCCTATTTATAAATGAAAATTTTTTGAAGTAGCTAACTTCAAGACTTTAGAATGTGGGTCCGTTTTAGAATTGAATGATCGAAAGCATAATCATCATATAAGTCAGAAAAAACCCAATATCAATTTTATTTAAATATTCGAGGACTTTCTAATGATCCCTCTTTAAATATGTTTCTCGTCTAGGGTGTGGGTGTTTCTTCTGTATAGTTACATTCACAACCACATCCTAAACTATTGATAAATAGAATCACAAGAAGAGGAAACAAAACAAGAGAAAATGCCGCATATTTACGAACGTTGTTCGCCATTTTCATTCTAATTATCAATTGAACTTTCACTGCTATTTTTGGTTTCACGTTTTTCGGCTTGTTCTGTTCATCGAATGTTGTTGAATCTATTTTTTCTGTTTTCAATTCTTTATCATTGTTTGTTTTTCCTCTGAATTCAAATCAAATATTTATTTCGAAGCATTGTTTTATAGCTTAGCTTTTCTGTTCTGGAATCTGTTCCTCGATCTGTAAGTGTAATTTTCCTATGATGAAAATAGTCGTTCAAACAGTGTAACATTCAAAATAGGAATATCATATCATTATTTTGTTAGCAATAATAAGAATTCTCGAGGAGAAGATTGTAAACTATCTTCTTCGCCTACTTAGAATACTTTTTTCTCTTATCTGTATTGATAAAGAGATGTCTGTCGACTATTACTATTGGAGATCATTTCGATTTCTATATCTATTCCTTTTCCATAAAATCGATGTGTAATTTTTATCTCCTAGAGTCATTCTACTCTGCATATGCATGCGATTTTTTAGGCTATGATAGAAAATTCCGTTGAATTGCAAGAAAAATTTCATACATATGAAAAAGACGATAGAAAAAATGTTCTAATTGTGGTAATTGATGCTCAAAATGGACAACAACATTTACATATTCCATTTGTTCGACAATTGATCGACAAAACCGAATATACAAGTAATGTAATCAATTTAAAACAACGGAAGTATTTTCTTATGCTCATACATTCACCTGCACAAGAGTTGTATCACAAATCTTATTTTCCATCAATTTTCTTACATAACTGGGACTATTATTTCTTTGATACATGTACACCTGGTGGTGCATTTCATCTTCAAAAAATGATACAAATATTATCTTCATCATATGATCAACAATCAAAAGAATCAATCGATAATATATTATGTGATTTAAATACTCTATTCGATGATTGTTTATGGGATTTTTGTTCACGAATTCAAATTGCTCTTCAAGAATTACCAGAAGATATGTTCAAAAACAAAATGGCTAGTCAATTCTATAGAAACCAAACAAGTCCTATCAACCGTGTACAGTGCTTGAAAAAAATTCTTCATGAATCAACAGAACTGCAAAAATGTATTGTTAATATTTATCACGAACATATATCAACAAAGAATTCTTTTCATAAAATGTATAATATGATCTATCAATTTTCGAAAGATATTCTATGTGGAAAACGTTTTGATGGTCTTGTGCATTCGATTCAATCTCAAACAGGAATTGCATTCTCAAATTTTGTTTCACATATACTCAAGTTTATTATGAATAACTATGGATTAGAAACATTATCAAATATATCAACAAATAACAATAACTATAGTTCAATGTTGAAGCTAATTGACTATTCATCGTTTATCGATGACAATGATGTTGATAATCAATCTTCTTCACCAAATCAAGGAATAATTCGAATTGTCGCAAATTATTCGTGCATTCCACAAACATTTCTGTATTATTTATTTCATCAACGAATCAGATCTATTGCCAATGAAATCAAATTAACATGGATTCTCAAACATACTGAAAATCAAGGTTTGAAACTATTTATAAATTTATTAACTTTGTACGAAAAAAATTTTGCATTCAAATTTTGAGTTTAGGATCAGTTTACAATTTTGAATTACTTTTCAATTTAATATTCAGGATTTAGACAGTGAAGAAAATATTATTTTAAATACTTTGCAAGATCGTTGAAGTAGATCTTATTTTTCATCCAAAATCTAATATGATTTGTGAATTTTCAACATAATCCAATTTCAGTTATTCAATTTTCCGATGAAATTTTAACTATTCGTATATATATCAATGAAATATTTTTCGCTAAGAAAAAAAGAATCAAATCCGAATTTTCTATAATATTTTGGGTTTCGTTTCAAAATAAATCGAAATTTTTTTTCATTGAACAATACATGTCTACAACAATCTGAACTCGTTAAGTTGGAGATGTTCTTTCTTAATAATATAATAGTTCTGTTTTGTTGAAGTTTTCACTAGAAACCTTGAGCTAAGACAGCTGATAGTCAGGTTATTCTTGCCTGATCGGAACCGACCCTTATTCATGTAACTCGATTCTGGTTGGATTTCATCGTACAAATTCCGTTTCGGCTGCTAAGGTCGCGAGCTCATCGAAATTTTCCAGCTAAATTCGACTGGAAATTAGCAGTCTCGAGATGAATTGTGACGAAACCTACTCGTTTATTAACGTTTCCGGAGACTGGAACGATCGACATCGATACAAGTAATCATATGCATATGATATATTCTACTGTCTATATTGTCTCTGCATCTAGAGGCCAACATAGCTTGATGGTTACATTGTTCGATACGTACTGTAATAGTACCGTGTTCAAGGCTAGGATCAGCAAGCTGTGTGATATTATTTAGCAAGTTATCTTACGACCAAGTATCTCGAACCATCCATTCGACAGCATACTTAATATATGCGACGTTAAAATAGAGTCACTAGTTAGTAAAGTTTTTTGAAAAACTCAAGAAAATGAGCCTCGGAACTCGGCATCAGGCTGATCGTGTGTTCAGAACTATAGCTAGTGACTAGCAATTAACGGTGATCATTTCCGAAGCTCATGTATTGTGAGGAAAAATACCGGACAGACGAAACTGCCTTCGGTAGCTGCAAGATGGGGCATTCATTCCTTTTTCTGTATCTAGAAACCAAAGATAGTCCTCATCGACACTTCTATTTAGCTCATCAAGTTACTACTACTGCCAACAACGTGGATGATGAAAACGAAACAACTGAATTTACATCACAAAAATTTCGAGATGGATTAGCAAAATCGATAATGAAAGATAAAGTGTTAATCGCTATTCTCACTAAACATATTGTTGAATCTTATTCAAATGATTTAGTTCGAACACTTTGCGCAATAGTCGAGAAAAATTTCAAATATGATTTTGATAAAAATGAGAAAACTATCGAATACGTTTCACGTTGGCTACAACTCATGGATGAATATGATCGTGAATCATTTGATGTTTTTCCAAATAAACATGCTTGGCGTCTTGCTCATGTTTACACAACGTTCGAATATGACCAAAATGATCTATTATCATTATATTCAGCTTTTCGAATTACTGTTCATGTTCAAAAAACATCATCGACTATTATTGATCTAAGCCAAGAAAACGATGTCACTCGTTCGCAAGTGCGTGAAAATTTGTTTACATTGATGTTTGATTATTTATGGAACAATTTATGTCGATTGTGTTCAAACGATGACAATTGTGAGCAATGGATTTATAACTACAGTTTCATTTCTAAATACTATCCATCAAACAAAGTTTTAAGTCAACAACCTACTCATATTAAAAATCAAATTGAATTCATGAATTTAGCTTATCTTATCTTTCTCAATGATAAAATACCAGAACAAAAGAAATTAGTATCTCATTTGCTGAATAATACACATCTGATTGATAATAACTTTAAACAATTACCCACAATAATACAGTATCTTAATGAATATTTCACAAATCAAAATATCAACGGTTCAACATTAATGATCGATCTACAACAATGGATAATATCAATATTAAAAGTGTCAAAAAAATCATGCAAACAAGAAATCAATTATCTATTGAATTATTTAAATCAGCCAACATGTCAATTAACATTGACTATGAAACAATTTTTATTCGATGAATTGGCAAAACTATCTCTCGAATATAATCAAAAAAATCAATCATTATCAAATCAACCTAAATTTGATTATTGTGATCGTATTGTTCTACTATTACCAATCGTTATCGAATGTATTTCCGATGAAGATCTTTCGCAAGATTATCAATTACCCTATCATCCATCAGTTGTAAATGACAAAAATGAACTAAAGCGTCAATCATTACTTGATTTACTCTTCTTTCATATCAAACGGTTTTGCAACGACCAAACAAACAGTGGTGAACTTGTCAATAAGGCGATGATGTTGACTCCACCTAAAATTAAAGAAAAACGTCATGTATCTGTTGCACAAAAAGTTTTTACACAATTAAAAGATTATTTTCGATTACGATCTACTGCTTTACTATTGTGCAAAACAGATTTAGATGATTATAGTCAAGATATTATTAATAATGTCATGCCAAAAATAATCAAGGATTACTTATCAATCAATCAACAAGATAATAAACTAAACAATCATCTTCAACTATTCTTATCTACGATAATATCAAAATATTCTTGGAATTTTCTTTTAAATCTATTGAAATCGGATCGTATACAAAGATTGGATAGTCAATGGGCAACTAGTTTATTCAATCTACTCGAATTGAAACAGACATGTCAAAAAAACAATTATCTACAACTATGCCATAAAATACAATTTACAATATCGTCATATAATGATATGTCATTGATCTTTCCGAACCTTCATCAATCATACGATGAACTAAGTATAATTCTTGATAAATGTGTTAAAGATGATGTTCAAGAACAACTATGGACAAATCTCTCTAATTGGATTCAAAGTAAACTGAACATAGATGAAGAATCTAATCTAAAATGTAATGAGATAAAAGCAATGATCTTATTGAAAATCTATTACGATTATTATTGTAATGATCAACTAACATTAGTAGATAAATTGTTAGATATAATTGAGAACATGTTAGAACTTTCATCCGATGAATTACGAATATTTCATGTTATTTTAAAACCAGAACAATTTATGATTGGCTATCCAAATAATGATAATAATGAAGATAGTAATTTTCTCAATAGTTTATTTAAGCTTGATTATAAAGTTGAAGATGAAACATGGAAATTATCTATTCGACATTTACTCGTGAATTTGATGGCGATGATTCTAATGGGAGGAGAACAGAGTTTTCTTTGGACATTTGCATTTCAACCATTGACACTAGAACATACATTTGGTGAGTGTTTCTTTTGTACTCATTCCATTCATAAGTTTAAATTCAGCGATTGATTGTTTCAAAAGTGCTCAGCCAGTCTCTCTTGTTTATTTCGATTGATATGTATTTAATCGAACGACACAGATATGATCAAAATTACAACATCAGTCAAGTTTTTCTTTTTATATTTCAAAATCCATGTTAATTCAATATTAATGCTATAATAAGAGAACTAGGGGCAAACTTCTTCCTAGCAACAAGTGACTTCCATTCCGGAAAAGAAGCTTTGTGAAGTGCAGTTTCCTATGAACTATCATAATCAGTAAGCCTAAGGCAATTCCATATTAGTTCAAATCAAAAGAACTGTTTGAAAAGTTCTTTTGACTTGACCAATTGAACTGACCGATTTAGCATAGAGTATAAAAACTAAAAGAACATTTCATATTTCCACATTATTAGCATTCAAATTCTTTACAAAATTTCATGTGCATGTTTTGTTGAATGGACTACCATCTATCATAAAATATGTATATTCGATATTTTTGTCTCTTGTTGCTAATTATCAAAAACAAATGCTGCAAGAAATAATTGCACTTCATCAATATGTATTTATCGTCAGTTCATAGAACATCTAATCATGAGAAAATCCAGAATTTTTTCCGCATAGGAACGAATTTCAAGGCTTCTCCTTGTGAGATTGCAGTATGACAAGCTTAATTGAGAGCCGCTTATTTGGCTCATAATTGTACAATAGAAAGAAACATTTCAAATTAGAATCACTCAAGTGTTTAGCACAAATAGATGTATCTTTCAAAAGATATTATCTTCGTAAAGATACAACTACTGGATCGATCGAATTATGTTTGCTCTAGGCTGAAAACTATAAATCGGCTGTTTATGACGTCAACAAGCATAGCTATACATAAAATACTTAGGGCTACCCAAAAGTAGTGGCGGAGATACCTTATTTTCGTATAGAAGGCTTGAGGAAATTTTCTTTTTTTTATGAGGTGATAGAGAAAATGAAGCTCTATTTTTCTATGCTATTTCATCCCTATTCAACTGGTACCATAATAATAAAATTTCGATAGGAACTGTTTTTGTTGAAAACTTAACTAACGGATGAGGCAGATTAAATGAATTATTCCATTTTCGCCGAAATTTTTTTTCGCCGACGTCCACTTTCGCCGATTCCAATATCGCCGACTAATTTTTTTGACCGAAAATTACCAAGTCAAATATGAATCATTCTATATTAAGAGTATTTTCCAATTTAATAAGTTTATTAACAAACTCATTAATTACCAACTGAGTTGATAACCATCTGACTTGGTAACCATCTGAGTTGGTGACTAAGTCGGTTAAAAAGAGTGTGGGTGTGGGTTTGGGTACCGGATTATACGAGTACCCACATACCCACACCCACATCCTATTTTATGCAAAAATTAAGACAGATAAAACCTTCATCTGGTGGCATCTGTTTTTAACCGACTTAGTCACCAACTCAGATAGTTACCAACTCAGATGGTTACCAACTCAGATGGTCACCAACTCAGATGGTTACCAAGTCAGATGGTTACCAACTCAGATGGTTACCAAGTCAGATGGTTACCAACTCAGATGGTTACCAAGTCAGATGGTTACCAACTCAGTTGGTAATTAATGAGTTTGTTAATAAACTTATTAAATTGGAAAAAACTCTTAATATAGAATGATTCATATTTGACTTGGTAATTTTCGGTCAAAAAAATTAGTCGGCGATATTGGAATCGGCGAAAATG